ACCGTATAGATACTTTAGCTAAAATATAGAGATACATCAACAATATTATAGGGATACACCATATAAAACTTTTAGATACATCATTGTAACATTTTAACAAGAAATGAAAAGATTTATTTGATGTTCCTCATTATTTTTACTATGTTAGTCCTGGCTTAGATATTGGAAGAGGCTGTAAACCTTGAAATTGAGATATTTTTAGTATGTAAATTTGAACTCTTTGTTTACCTAGTTTGAGATGATGTTCAGTGATACTTACAACTATTGCATAGAGATACGTCATCTCAAACTTATAGATACGTTATTCTAATATTGTAGCAGGAAATTAAAGTGATTTAATTTTTTCTTGATTATCTCTCTAAATATCATGACAGAAGGATCCACAATGGTAACATCACCACAACTACTACTACCGCGTTCTCCTAGACCTGAAACACATCTAACTCAAGGTGTTACTAAGGAGTGGTTTCCTTGTTGCCCTGGAGAGGCAAAACCATGTTTGGGAAAGAGTTATCAACTTACAAGATGGTATCGAGTTCTATAAGGCTTATGCTAAAATATGTCACTTTGTTGTACGAAAATCTTCAACGACCACAATCTCGGGTGGAATTTTCTCTTTAAATAATTGTATCTGTAATAAGGCAGGTTTTAAAGATGAAACAAGAATAATCAGGTTGGTCAAGATAAGAAAAGTAACACTCGTCGCCGTAGAACAAAGATCACAAGAATGGGTTGTAAAGCAAAGTGCATTCTGAAATACTATTCTCAAGATGGATTATATAGGATGTTGGATTTTCATAAAGGTCACAATCATTCTCTTGCTAGTCCTGTGTCTTCTCAGTACTTGAAAAGTTCAAGAAAAATTACAATCTTGCATAAAAACTTCATAGCTAACAATGCAAGCGTAAATGTAGGTCCAGTTAAGTCATTTCGGTATATAAAGCACAAGTAGGATGCTATGGTAAGGTTGGTGCTACACTTCAGGATTTCAAGAATTTTCACAGGGATATGAAAGAATACATCAAAGATCAAGATGGGAAGATGTTGATTGAAAACTTTTGAAAAGAGAAGTGTTTGATGGATTTTACTTTGATTATGAACTTGATGAGGAGTGTCATATATCCTGACTATTTTGGGCAGATGCTATTTGTCGAAAAAATTATAGGTTGTTTGGTGATATGGTCTCTTTTGATGCTACGTACGACACTAACAAGTACTCAATGGCTTTTGTGCCTTTCACAGGAGTTGACCATCATAGGTAATGCATTAATTTTGGTGTGGGTTTCATAGGAAAAGAAAGTACAGAATCATTTGAATGGTTATTAAGGACATTCCTTCAAGCAATGGGTAATTATGAGCCTACATGCATCATCACAGACCAAAATCCTACAATGAAAGCTGCTATAAAGCTAGTATTTAAAAACACTCAACACCAACTTTGTATGTGGCACATCATGGGTAAGGTATCTGAAAAAATCAGCTCAGAGCTTCGCCAAGATAAAAACTTTTTTGAAGTACTCAATGCTTGTGTGTGGAATATGGACAATAAACCCAAAGGATTCGAATTTGAGTGGCGGGAAATTATAGTCAAATATGGCTTAGAGCATAATGAATGGTTTAATTACATGTTTTCAATTAGGGAATCATGGATATCTGCATACTTCAGGGATCTCTTCTTAGGTGGAATCATGAGGACAACTTCTAGGTCTAAAAGTGAAAACAATTTTTTCTGTAACGTTACAAATCCTCATGTCACATTGGTTGAGTTCTTCATGTGCCTTGAAAGTGCAATGGATTCCCAAAGACACAAGCAAGACAAGGTAAATTATGATTCCAAACATTCACTTCCCCAACTAAAGACACCTTTGCCTTTAGAAAGGCATGCCTCTAAGGTATACATCCATACAATCTTTTATATATTCCAAAAAGAAATAACTATATCATGTTTCTATTGTGGAATAACTGATATAACAAAGGAGCATGATAGAGAGAGTTTTATAGCGAAAGATTCCGCTAGAAATAAGACTTATATTGTGTTATTCAATGCACAAAATTATCTTATATCTTGCTCTTGTAAGTTGTTTGAGCGACTTGGCATCTTATGTAGACATGCAATATGTGTTTTGAAAGAAAGATATATATAGAGGAAATACCAAGCTCGTATGTACTTGGCCGTTGGACAAAAGATGCACCGAAAAACCCTATTTTCAACATGGATGATTGTAGACACCTGAATATGTCTCCCCAAAACCAAACTCGATGATGAACAACCTTTCACCGCTGTTATTTGTCGGGTTGAGTATTTAATCTCGGGAGTGCTTAAAATCCATGTTCAGTCAAACATATTAAGTCAACAAATCAGTCAAACCATTTATTCAAACTCTGTCCAACTCATATCCTAGCCCAAACCTTTTTAATTCATTTCGTGTTAGTTATTAATTAATCTCGATTAATAAATAATAAAAACCCTAAGCCTGATATTAATCCGGAATAGTTGAAACATCGCATAATTATCACGTACTTAATTATTAAGTAAGGGATAAATGAATCTGGACTGTTTTCAGGAAAACATGTGCACCGTGTCTTGGCAAACACACCACGTCACGGTATTCCGCGCCGTGTCGTGGCACACATGCTGTGACACGACATTTTTCTAGGGTTTCTCCGCTACGCCTTTTCACTTCTAGGGTTCCATGCTTCACCCCTCACATTTTCTCTATAAATACAAACCTGATTTCTCCAGTTTTGGGGCACCAAAAATCATTCTCTTTCTCCCTGCACCAACAATCATTTTCTTCTCTCTTTTAGCCTAAACACTAGCCAACCTATTCTCTCATAATACTTCCCCTAAGCACTCCAAGGAGTCCATACTTGACTTGAAGTTCTATACTTAAACCAAGGCGTGAAAGGTAGAATTAACTGAGGGTTTGAACCAAATCAACTCTACTTTTCATTTAATTTAATTCAGTTTGATTTATTATTTATTGAAGTTACTAACAGTTTATTCATGATGTAGCAATTCAAGGAAACGCGGAACGTGAGTAGTTAATTCACTTAATTACTCTTTTTACTATTCTTGTTGCTAGTACCATGATTAGGTTTATCATTATTTGATTTGACTAACGTTATTATGGTTAAATTGCTTCCAATGTTGATGTTGATTTTTATTATATTTTTTATCACCATATTGCATGTTTAATGGGAATATGTAAGTGAACACCACGATTAATGAGATAATTTGGACGATCGGTTTAGGTTCCTTTTTAATCTTGTTGTTAATAGAAGTGATCGCGATATTGTAGAGTTATATGTTGCATTAACATTAAACCAATTTAGCTTAATATTATTTTGGAGCAAATTGAATCTTTGTTTGCATGCCTTTGAGACCGCAGGAATCACTTTTCACAAAAAGAATCGAGTAGAAGTCAATACGGGCGAATGTGACTCCATGACTCACTTTGTACCATCATCCCCGATCCTCCTTTCGTGGTTCCAAACCATATGGAGTTAGTAATCTTATAGATTATGAATGGGGTGTAACCTTCACGGGTCAATCGTTGTTGCCTTTCGTTGTCCCTTATTCGTGGTTGCCTTAAATGATCCGTGAACGGTTTACAAATTCCTTAAAAAGTTGTTGGTGGCTCCCTACTTTCCTTGTCCCTAATCGTTGTCCCTAATTGTATATGTCAATTACCACTTCCTATGAATGCCAAGCATATTCACAACATGCTTACGTAGGCGCGCTTCGAATGACGCCTACAATGATAATCTACTTGAAGAGTGTCGACAAATGAATACTAAGAAGAATCTTTTATGCGAGTGTTGGTCAGAGATATATAATTGTGTGACTCTGGCGGAAAGAAATAAAGATTACTTGATTAGTCTTGTAAAGATTCTGAAAGGTTATATCAAGACATTGTTGGAAAGAAATAATAGCGAAAAACAAATAACCAAAGCACAACAAATGGAGTTTTTTGTTGGACCTAGTGCAACTTCAGATCTAAACATCCTAAACCCAAAGCAATCCAGCAATAAGGGATCAGGTAAAAGGAAAAAAGGAGAAAAAGCTATGGAACAACAACAAAGAAATAAAAGGAATTGTAGGAAGTGTGGAGCTTATGACTACCATGATAGTCGTACTTTCCCTACCAAGAAGGCTTCTTAAACCAGGTTAATTTTCTCTCTTAGTTAGAACATGCAGATATGACAACTATAATTCATAGATACAATTGCTATAACTTGAATATACATCAGCTATAACTTGGAGATACGATAACTATGATCTATGAATACAATCACTAGGACCAAAACACTAATAATTATTGCTATATGATTAGTTTTCTTGATAATGACCCACTTCTAACTTATGTATATGTATTGCTTCTACGTCATCTAGTTCTTGATTACTAGCTTGAGGAGATTGAAGTGATTCAAAAGTTTGATTCCAATAATGAAGATAATTAAGAGGAAGATTCTGAATCTGAGCGCTAGGACCAAACCACTAATAATTATTGCTACCAATGCTGCTGGAGCACAAACTGCAAGTTATGCTGCTGTGAATGATATAGAGCATGCTGCTTCTTCCTACTGTTGCTGCTGCCTCTGTATGCCGCTCTTATTGCTGCCTCTGTATGCTGCTATTGCTGCCTCTGTTTTCTACTGCTACTTTTACTTCTGTATCTGATCTTGCTGCTGCATTGTAATTGTTTTTTTTTTTAAATATTTTTAGGACGAAGATGTAATATTATAAGCATTTAGTAATAAAAGTATCTAAGTTTATATATATATATAAGTCTTATCATCAACCTCATGAAGTCAGCAACTACTGCAATTATGTCCAAATTTAAATGCTCATATCCAACTTTCTTCTACATAATGTCAAAACAAGCTGAAGCAACATGTATAAAGACTCCATATTATAGCCATCGTCTCTATGATTAATTTACCTGCATATCTATTCAACTACAGTACTATAAACTTGGCCAGGGACTAAGATCGAGGAAGAAAAACAAGTCTACTAGACTTCTTTTACAATCTTTATCAATCTTTTACAATAATAGAAGAAATGTTACTAATCAAAATGTAAAGAGTGGGAGGAGGCCTCTAAACCACGTCAAAATCACCATTCAATTGCCAATCCTAAGTATTTACATTACAAAATCATAGTAAGTACATCACAACACAATTGTAGATACATGCACCAAGAATTTCCCTTTCTACACTAAAAATCAACTATATATTCAATTCGCCAACTTTGCTTTCTTCAACACATCTTCTTTGACCATGTTGTGCTCGTTCTTCAAAATATCATAACAATATTTTGCTCTCAAAGTTTTTAGAATATGGTCCTGCAAACACATACAGAACACTAAATCAAGTTTGCACTGAAAAAGGAATCAATCAACATTCATTATCTGAACGTCTTACATTAGGTTTTTTAAGAATTGTATCCCAAGAATTTCCATGTCCCATGTAAGTTTCCATGTGTCCCATTGTAATACTATCCACAACATCAAGCTCATTTGATTTCCATATCATTCTGATTACTCTTGGCTCGAAATTAGCTACCAAATTAGCTCTTGGATCCTTTCTTTCTTTCAAAAATTCTGAAAGGAATGAAGCCTATAAAATATACAATGTTTCAGCATTTAACATTTGTCAAGAACAATAGGATTAAAAAAAATAAATGTAAGTTCCCAAAAATCTTACCAAAATTGATAGATAGCCACCATAAATTTCATTGATTTTGCTAGTCAAAATCCTTTGGTCAATCACGTCAACCTTAGAATACTTGAAATTAAAACAGAGAACTATATAACATCCATGATGGATAACAGGAAAAAATGCCTGAAACAATAAAAGAAGAAGTGAATCAGTGTATGCAACAACTTAACATTTAGACACATCTACCCTAATGTATTTGATATGTAAATCAGCATTCAAATTCAAGTATATATTTGTTTGTGATTGAAAAATTGTAGATACACTAGATAAAATTTGCAGATACACTAGATAAAACTTGTAGATACATTAGCAAAAGCTTGCGGATACATTAACAAAAACTTGTAGATACACCAACTAAATTTGTGCACACACCTATATTTGGAATAATGAACTTGCATGTACATTAAATAAATAATATATAATATATTGATTAGAAATAATTACTTACAAGATCGATCTGAAGTATCAGGATAATCGGAGCATTTGAGCATGCTGGCCAATCTAAATTTAAATTCAATGCTACTCTTCACTATTTACTTTTTTTCTAGAAGATTTTGAGTCACATCAACTTGTGAATGAAGTCATTTAGATATCTGAGTTCATTATATATTCCACTTTTAATAATAATTGATATGTACAACGTGTATACTTACACAAGCTGTGGCACTACAGAAAAATCTCTTTGGTGATGCAAACCCACAGCCTAAATCCTTTTGATTCAAAATCAATGCCCAGATATCAACAATATTCTTTGTCACCACACCTTCCAAAAGTGATGAAACATGATGACGTTCAACATGAAAATCTCCATTATGATAAAAGACCTCACTACATCGAACAGAAGAACATAAAAAGGAATTAGCAAATTTGAGTATGTTCATTATAACATATAAACAAATTAAATGCAAAAGAAAGAAAGATATCTTACTTCGAATCTCCGGTATCCAAAACATAATTGCACAACATCTTCTCAACCTTAGTCATCTTTTTTAGCACATCAATGTAATGATCATAATAAGGAGACCTATGATACGAAGGAAGGTTCTTTGGCTTCCTTTGAGGGCGATCTCTTTCAGCTTTATATTCATTTGTGCTTTCAATTTGATAAGTTGAAACATCTTTTTTGCCTTCTGTCTTCCCACCTCATTGATTCTTAACCACTACATTAATGTTGGGTGGCATGTCCATAGGTGGTGTGAGATCAATACCTAGGCTAAATGATGGAAAGTCATTCTCTTGCCAAGTCTATGGACATTTTTTCTCACAAGCCTTTTTCTTAGAAGTCTTGTTAGTCTTGTCATAAGACTTCTCAATACGATCAATTTCTTCGAGAACTCCTAGTTGTCCAAGAAAAGCGTCAAAATCACTACCATCTGCTTGTATCGGAGAAACTTTAGTAAATGCCTCTGTGGCAACTCTTTGTATCTTCTTTATGTTTTCAATGCCGGGAAAATCCTTGTCACCCTTTGCGATCACTTCTCCTAACTCAACAAAATTTTTGATATTTGGTTGGTAATAGAACAAACCTTCTTAACAAAATCCTGAAATTTCAAAGGTGAAAAAGTTATAAATTATGGAAAATGAATTGATATGTTCATTGTGAAAAAATAAATAAATAAAAATACTATAGCAAGTGCATACCTCTTTTGACGAAAGGGATGAATCAGCTTCAGATACATCGCTTGCTTCTTTCCTTTTATTCTTCTTCTTTCTAATATAACTCAAGGAAGGCAAAATTCTGCCTACTCCAAACCTTCCTGCATTTAACTCATCTGTAATTCTTTTTCCTATTGTAGATGAATTCCAGCATGAAATAACAAGAACCTTCCTATCCACTTTTCCTCCAATAAATCTACTTTATCAAAGTAGAATAACTGCTCAACAAGAAATGGAATGTACAAATCAAAACAAAAATAAAGAATAATACCATAGGTTAATAAATACAAAATCAGATATAATAATAGGTTTAATGATGAGATTAATAATAATACGTGCAGATACACTAGCTAAAACTTACACATACACCAACTAAAATTTACAGATACACTAGCTAAAACTTGTGGACACACTAGCTAAAACGTATAGATACACAAGCTAGAAGAGTATGTGTAGAGTAATTACCATGAGAAATAGCACAGAGCCCTTAAAATTAGCACTTGGGTTCTCTCTCCAACACAAGACAACATCTACTAAGCTTTGGATTGTGTATTGGGACCAATTGAATTGACTTCTCACTTGTTTTCATCAAAGAAAACAATATCTTATAGTTGCACTTTACATCTTTATGACCATTCAAACAACTAAAAACAACAAAAACCACAAAATTCCTTTTAAAATCATCTTTATATTCGAGATTAAGAATCTTATCACACATTTGGCTTATAGCAGGATTGCCAATCTTCAAACCCCATATATTCCTCCACTTACTTAATAACACACTAAAATGTTCTATTTCATGATCACTTTTAGCTTCTTTCACTACTTTTGCACCCATCGGAAGACCAAGAGTCAAATGCAATCCTCTGCATCAATATTGATTTTCCCATCTTGTAGATACAAAGGTCGGCTATATGGGTCGAAATTCTGAACAAGCCAAAGGCTTAATTTAGGGAACAACTCCCCAAAACCTAGAGTGAGTAAAGCACCAAACCCGATCTCCTAGACTGCTTGACGTTGGTCATCATTTAAGTTGTTGATCATATAGTATAGCTGGGTAGGAGACATTCGAGTACAAAGGGTACTTTGATTTTGTGTGTCTAAGATAGGTAGCATCTGGATTACCATGCTTGTACTAGTATGTGCCTTAGACACTTCAAGATTTCTCACTCGTCTTTCCCTCGGAGCTTTTACATAGGTACTAAGCTCCAATCCTCTTGCATCTTCCTCTTGCGAAAGAGTCCTATGCTCTATGTCACTCATATTGATCTACCATGAAATAAGAGAATAATTAATAAGACATTAAAAGTGTCATATTAAAGTGAACAATAAACCAATATTACAAAACAAATTTTAAAACAATAGGTACACAAATTAATTTCTACAATTATATTATTAGTAAACAATATCAGATACATTAGAAACAATAGCATATACATTATATAGATGATACAATCAAAGTTCAAGAACAGAGCCAAATGAGGATTCCGATCCAAGTTCCAGCCACAACTACAAGCATAAATTAAATAAAGACCATAAAATATTCTAAGAAGGCAACAGGAACCCCTACACCAGCGAACTCCACCTCTAGGGAAACAAAAGGACAGAAGCTCAAACTGCAGCTCCGCTCATGGAGTTCTTCCACCTAGTATGACTAAATCAGATTAAATTATACTACTTATGTAATAATAAGATTTTATATGAAATAATTTAGTGAGTTGGTCTTATAAAGCAATATTAGATACATTATAATAAATCAATAACACATAAATTATAAACCAACAGTAATATGCGCTAGCTGTTTATATATTATGTTCCCTCTCTTACTTTCTATGTATCATCTATATGAACTAGAATTTGTCCACCATCATAGGTGAGACCCAATAATGTATCATGCTACTTAATCTTTTTGAAGTAAACGAAATAGCTGACTAAATATTTTGCATCAACCATTTTAAGATTTGATTTCTACTAGTTATTTTTTGGCAAACTTTTGACAATTGATGAAAATTTACCCAAAAAACTAAGTATTTCATGATAACTACAATTGATTAAATACCTTGATTATGAGCAAAAATTACAGCAAGCTAAAGTGAAATTTAAATCAATTTAGCATTAATTTGGATTATTACAGCAAGCTAAAGTGAAATTTAAATCAATTTAGCATCAAAAGTGACATTACAGCAAGCTAAAGTGAAATTTAAATCAATTTAGCATCAAAAGAGGGAAAATCAAAACCTAGATTAAGTAAGCAGTAATCTAAGACAACTAATCAATTATCCATACTACAATTCAACAATCAAACTAAATTTAGCAATCACAAAATATAACTACTCTATCAATTTACCACAATTATGAAAATAATAAAAAAAATTAACACAGCAATTATGATTTTGAACAACTTTTACCTCAAAATATAGCATGTGCAATTCACATTCAACAAAATCTGCAGAATTTTGCTTTCAAAATCTTGACCTAGTGTGATTCGATTGAAATTTGAGAGAAAATTGAAGTAAAATTACAGTGATGGAGGTTCGAACAGGAGAGAGAAAAGAATGAAGTAGAGAGAGAAAAGAACGTAGAAAGAGTTGGAATTAAAAGCAATTAAAGAGCTCGTGCGTTTTTTCCCCTCAAAATACTTTCATAAATCACTTAATCTCCACCGTTCATATCTTAATTCAATGGTGGAGATTACTTCTCACCCTTCTTACCTTAAGAGAGTTTATCACGTGAACCCAAATCTATCTATCTATATGTATATATACTAACAATGAGGAAATTTTTCCCCATGGGCATCACAGTGGTGAGGAAATTGGTTTTTTCTCATGAAGAAAACTGATTTTTCTCACGCCGTGAGGAAACTTAAGGACTAATAGTAGCACCACTTGCTACTTATTTAATTTTTTTTGCTTGCTGCACCTCAAAATGACAAGTTTTGGGGGGTGTTGTTCTTGGCTGCACCTCAAAACTCGTCGTTTTGGAGGTGTGGTCGCCAAAAAAATTTTAAGGCTGACGTGCCTAGCTCTTTAATTTAGGGCTTGTTTAGTTCACCGTATTTTTGCTGATCTGATCTGATTGCCTGATTTCACCAAACTTTAACCTTACGTGTACGATCATCTATAAAGGAAAAATATATCAGGTGGGATCTTGTTAGATTCGTAATAATGTGTATTTTAATAATATGTAATTTTCATAATTTTTTTATTACGAAATCAAAGATATTTAGCGATAATAAACGACACATAAAACGATGATCTGATCTAAACTTATTTTTTCTAATATGAGTTTATTTTTTCTGATTTGACCTGATCTGCACTTATTTTTCCGAAATAAGTATAAATAAGTTGAACTAAACAATGCTTTAATCGAAGTCGAGTAAATCTTTGTTATTATAATTAAACTAATTATCAAAGTCAAATAATAAATTTCAAATTATTAATTATAAGTAGATTTGATTTGATCCATAATCGTAATTTGTAGTACTCGTAGTATATTTTCTAAAAAAACATAAGTTAATAAAATATAGTGATTTGTAGGAGAGAGAAAATGTTGGTTGGGTATTATAAAAAGTATGAGAGAGAGTCATGAGGTTTGTTTTTATTATTTTTTTTATTTTTTTTATCACTGGTGGGATAAAATTTCCTCACCAAATTTCCTCATAAGGAAAATGAGGATTTTAGAGAGTGAAAGTGGGTAAAGAGAGAACGAGGAAACCTTTTTTTTTCTCATTATTGACAATGCTCTTAGATGGCATGGATGATGTCTGCTTTTTGTTTGAACACTACTAATTGAACTATGGTTTTCTTGGTCTTATGGCTGAATTGAATTAATGGGCTTGGCAATTTTCAACATTCGCAATTCAGTGATATGTGTAGCCAGTAGCACCATGGCATACCTAATAGCTATTGGTGCACGTATCACATGGGTTTTGTATAGGTATTTATGAGTGAAAATAATTTAAATTCTCTTACTAACATTAGGGTATTCAATTAATTATTGTCAATATCAGCTCATTTATAACCGATAAGGCCCATCCCTTTATTTCTTTTAGTGGTCTAAGCCCACTTCTTTAGCGGGCAAGATCTAATAGATTGTACAAAAATATATGCTATAACGTAAAATGTTATTGATTGTCAAATGTGTATTTTTAAATTATTAACTATGTATAATACGGAGTAATATATACTCCTTTTGTATTTAAGTTATTGTTATGATATATCATGTGTTTCTATATTATTTTTAGAGTTTTTCACCTTATACTTTAACGAAATAGAATATTGAAAAAATTAATATCTGAAAATATAAATTGATTAATCCAACAATTAGTTCCTTCATTTTTAAAGTTACAACACTTTAAATTTAGCATTATTCACCCATGTTACTTTAACTACCTTTGATGATTTATACTTAAAAGATATAGTCGTGAAGGATATATATATTTGGATTCATCTTGATTGATACTTTCAAAGCTATCCCAGGTTAATCACTTTGATAAACCAGGGACGACGTTTATTAAGAATTATAACCGTCATTTCCAATTGTTAGTCAGGGGTAGTATTGTAAGTTGGCGATTACTGTAAAGATTTTTATTGAGTGTCGTTAGCCTTACAAATTTACGTCGTTATTTATGTCCTTTTCTTAAAACGCACCATAACTACAACATCATGCCACTCGCCATTAACAAAGCCAACAACCACAACCATGGACGACAACAATCAACGTTAGAAGCCTAGGAGGTGATTGCTGCTTGTTGATAGAGGGAGATGGGCAGCGAGGTGGTGCCAATGAACCACCAATTTCTTTCTATCTCCTCCCTCCCATGGCCACTGTCAACCATTTCCATGCCACCAAAATAAACGAAAAACCTAATGTAACACCCCCCAAATCTCCCTCTACCCAGTATAATACGTATAATTATATCGTAAAGATAGACTTAGGTGTATTACCACCGCGTGATTACGCAAGACTACTCAAACTACTAGCTTAATACCAAAACTTTGCAGCGGAAACTCAAACTCTTTCTTTATTAATAATAATAAAAATAGTAACCATTGTTATGCGTACTCAAAATAAAGACAAAAACCAACATTCCCTAAACTAGGTGAAGCAAATCCCGGGACTCCCATATGCTCATACATGACTCCACCTGAAAAAGTCAACACTACTTACCATTAAGGTAAACAGGGTGAACCAAAACAAATACAAAATACGGATTAGCAAAATATGTTAATATAAGTGCAAGTTAAGTAAACTCAATTTATTAGCAAACATGCTTTTAAAACCAATTCCAATATTGAATAGTTCCAAACTCATAATTCAAACCAATACTCAAAATTCTCAAAACAATTCCAATAACTCAATAATTCAATAGTAGTGATTAATAAATCAATTCCTCTTTTAAAAACTCAATTCCTCTCCTAAGTGTGCACACCCTCCAAGTTAATATTTCTATATTGAAAGGTTATCCTTGAGGAAAGACTCGGCCATACAAAGTCCAAATTCTTATCAACCAAATCCGCATAGTGGGATTAATATAATCATGTTTGTAAAGCATTAATAAATAATTTAATAATTTCCTCTTTAACTCATTAAATCAATAATTCAATAAATTAACTAAAAACTCTTTTTTATTAAATTCAACATGCTTTCAAAATCAAACCTTTTATACATGATAATTGATTCAAACCATTCAAAACATGACATTAGAAATCCATTCTCAAACATATTTATTTCAAACATGAATTCTCAAGATTATTTCATAAATCATAATATTCAATTTAATTCAAAATAACTTAATTCAATCACATAAAATATGCTTTTCAATCAAATCAATTTCAAAGGTATCTAGCCACCTAAATGTACCTTGATCCTCGCTTAAGCAACACAAAAAGAACCTCAAGCACTCTTGTCAAAGACACCCTACAATTAAATATAACTTTAATCAATATAAGGTCATCAAATAATCACAACAATTAAAATAAAACTCCCAACTCTATGTACATGAACCTTATAAAAATTCTTTTCATAATCTTGAATAATAATCTGCTTTTATTAATTTAAAACACCAATAATAATTTTTATAACCATAATAATAATAATAATAATAATAATAATAATAATAATAATAATAATAATAATAATAATAATAATAATAATAATAATAATAATAATAATAATAATTACGAGAAGAGAAGAAAGATTGAAAACCGAAAGAAGAAGGAGGAGGAAGGGGTACAACAGGGAGCAGCAGCGCCGACAGGTGGCTAGTGGTGGTGGCTGGCGTCAGTGGCTGGCCAGAGGTAGTGGCAGCCGGTGGTTGTGGTGGTGGAGGTGCAAGAAAACTAAGAGAAACGGAGGAGAGAAAACCGTGAGATGAAGAGAGAAATAAGAGAAAAATTAGAGAGTTTTGGTGTGAGTTTTTGGCTTTGATGCATGGGGTATTTAGTAGGGGTGAGCATGGGTCGGGTACCCGTACCGTTAACACTATTGGTTCGGGTACCCAATAACACTAAAAATGATATCCATTAACCGAACCAATAAGTTCGGGTACCCGAATTTTTGGATCGGTTATTGGGTATCCAATATAATAACCAATAATGAAAAGCTAGGCTTTATAATTAAGTTATTATGATATTATCAATGCTAATCAACAATAATACCATATGATTATGACTGACCTCGTAGAGGCTCTGACGACAATTATGACCAAATTACTAAAAATATTACTAATCATTTAAATTGAGAAGTGATTATAAAGTACAGTAACAGTTTAGATTTTGAATAAATAGATTTAAGTAGAAAAAAAAAAATAAAAGATTGCTTATCGGATCAGATAGGGTAATCGTTAATTTTAAAATGATACCCAATAACCGTACCCGATAACAAATTATCGGATCGGGTACCCAAACCGTTATGGTTATCGGAATGGGTACCCTAATTTTCGGTTCGGTTACGGTTCGGCTTTTCGGATCTTAGCCCTAGTATTTATAGGCTTGAGCATGCAAGCATTAAGGAAGGAAATTGTAGGAAGAATTATGGTAAATTTGGTTTACGGAATTACTTGAAAAAGAGAGTTTAGGGATTTAGGAAAGTTTAGTTTATGGTGATTAAGGAATGAAAAATTAAGGTAAGTAGTTGATCATGAAATATAAAATGGTAAGTAGGCTTCACTTGGGGAATAATCAAGAAAGATTTAAGGTAAGTAAATTGTATGTTAAATCTTAGTGAGATGGAAAATAGGAATTAAAGAAATAATGGAATTTAAGGAACGAAGATAATTAAAATACAAAACTACTAAAATAATTTGCCCAAAAATCATACAAGGTGGCCGAAAATTTTGAGCTTTCCTAATAAGCTCATATTTTTGGCCCTCATAGTTAGATTTTAGGAATTATTTTACTAGATTGTAAGGATTAAAAATGATTGTGTAAATAATATATTTTGCAGAAAATAATTAACTAGGAAAATATCAACTTTAAAACTAATTGATTAATCATGAAAAATAAGATTTTCTATGCTTAGAAAATCCGAAATTCCTAGCTTAATTAAAGGTGTGTTCTATTCACCTGATTTTCACTTATCTGACTTATGTAAACTTACCTGAACTTATTACACCTTACTAAAATTTATTTTAGT